TTCAACACAAACATACATATAAATCCCAAATTTAATTGGTAATTTCTCACCCACTATTCCACCGACGAAGAAAGGAGGCTACCGATCACCACCTTCGCAGCCCCTCCATTCTACGCCTCCCTCTGATCGTGTAGAACCACCAAACACTCACCATTTCACCCACTACTCTGCTGACCCCCTTAATCGATGGTAACAACCTCGTCAAAGGCTTAACAGACGAGAAGAAACTCACATCCTAACCCTCAGAAATAAAAACCCTAGCCGCTAAGAAACCCTAACTTTAGAGTTTGCAGCAGCTCAAATCAAGTTTCTTTTGGGTTTATAGTCATCCCACTGGATACTTGCATCTGGATATGTGGGCGGTGACAGGTGGTCGGAGACAACAACGTTGATGGGTGCTGAAACGACGACAAGTAGTGGTAGCACATCAACTCTGTTGCTTCCATCTTCCCAATACAACGATGATCGAAAAGAAAAGAAGGAGCAAGGATTGGGGTTTGTTTGGGGCTGCTCAGATCAACAGAAAAGAAAAAAGATGGGGTGAGGCTAGAATGGTTCTATGGTGGGCGGAGATGTAGCGGTTCACGGTGGAGTTTGGTAGTCGAATGGAGGCTAGCAGGTGGTGCGGTGGCTATCTCCAGATTGTTGGAGGTAGCACAACCTCTTCTTGTTCGTTGAAATCAGGAACGGGAGAAAGAAATGGGTATATGACCCGGAGAGAGAGAGAGAGAGAGAGAGAGAGAGAGATTTATTTTTTTAATTAGTTAAATAAATAAATAAGTATTTAGATTTAAAAAAATGAAAGAAATGAAAAATAAATGAAAAATAAATAATATAAGGGTATTACCGTCATTCCACTATTTAGGGGGACCAAAAACGCAATGAAACTAGCTTAAAAGGACCATCAATCCAAAAAATGCGTGGTTTGGACTAAAACCTCAAAAAAAATGCATACACAGGGACCATTTTTGCAATTTTATCTATTATATGAAACCTTTGAAATCCGTTTATTTAATAACATTATATTATTAATTTATTACTATATATTAGGTACACCTACTCTTTATTATAAACTCATTAACAAGACACACTTTCAAAGTGTCTACGGCCATGGCTGTTCCAAAATCCAAGTCGGATCCTTACAAATTCCTAAAAATCACACAAAACCCCGATGGGTCATTGACCCGACTTGCCCCCCTTCCATCCTCCCCTGCAACACCACAACTCACAGCTGATTCCCAACTCGCTCTCTCCAAAGATATACCACTTAACACCAGCAACACCACCTTCATCCGCCTCTTCCGCCCTGTGTCACCACCGACAACCATCACCGGAAAACTCCCGATCATTATCTACTTCCACGGTGGTGGATTTATTCTCTTTAGCGCCACCTCTTTTCCCTTCCACAATTCATGTGCCGCCATATCCGCCCAGTCTCCGGCGATTGTGATCTCCGTCGAGTACCGCCTTGCTCCTGAACACCGTCTCCCGGCGGCGTATGATGATGCCATGGAGGCGGTGTTGTGGGTGCGTGACCAGGCATTACAGATCAACGGTTGTGATGAGCGGTTGATTGAGGTCGCTGACTTTTCTAAAGTATACTTGATGGGAGATAGCTCAGGAGGAAACATAGCATACAATGCTGGCTTACGTGCCCTTGATCTTGATCTTAATCCAATAAAGATCGTAGGGCTCATAATGAACCAACCGTTTTTTGGTGGGGTGAAGCGCACTGAATCAGAACTTCGACTGGTGAATGACCGTATAGTCCCTTTGATGGCTAATGATCTCATGTGGTCTCTCGCACTACCCAAAGCTAGTGATCGAGACCATGAATATTGTAATCCATTACGAGATCTAAACAGATCTCGAAGTGAAAAGATCATACATTTACCAAAATGTCTGATCTTAGGTAACAATGGAGACCCACTAATTGATAGACAAAAAGAGTTTGCTAATATGTTGGAGGCTTTTGGGGTGCATGTGACAAGGAAATTTGACGATGAAGGGTACCATGGTGTACAAATCTTCGATTCCCAAAAGGCACAAATCTTTTATGATGATGTCAAGTGTTTCGTTTGGGGTCTTGATATGAAAAGATCAACTTTATGATTATATGTTGATATTTGCATGTTGGTTTGTTGTAGTGTTTTTTTTATTATCTAATTTACTATTAAGAATCATTTAGGGTATTAATAAAAGAAGTTAAAAGTGAAATTACACGTGTTGGTGATATACTGATAGGTATAATTGATCGTTGCACAACAGAGAACAAATTATGAGGGCATTACAATTGGAAACTTGCTGGAGGACATTCGGATAGATAGTGAATGGAGTGGAGTAGTTTTTTTGTGCATTTGGGTGAATGAGATTATGCAACCCATGGCCTAAAGTCTTGTGGCAACCCGTGACCCAATGTTTCCAAGCCCAACTTTCTCGCCAGCGGATCGGAAACATGAGCATTATAACTTATAAGATCTATCACCCAATGAATGTTTCATATTCTTTCAAGGGCTTTTACATGAAAACCTTAAAGTTTGACATTTTTGTACGGTTTTACCTTGAATTCAATTTTTTGTTCACTAATGTCTAATAGTTTTGAGACTTTTCTGGTAAATCTCATTTATTAGGTCCCCTTCCACATAGCCGGTTCCCACTACATTGTCGGAAGACACATTAACATGTTTTTAGATGGCTAAGATTAGGGGTGACCATCGGAACAGAGTACCCGTTTTAGGAACCGGAACTGCCATGGAACCGCCGGTTCTGAAACCGGAACCGCCTTACACTGTTCCGGTTCCCAAAGTTTTGTTGTCTTATGCGGTTCCGGTTCCGGTTATTAGTTTTTTGAAACCGCTAACCGTTGGGTAACCGTCGGTATATATATATATATATATATATATATATATATATATATATATATATGTGAAAGGTTTACTATACACATTAATTCACATTCATTACTAAGAGGTGACATTTAATAGATGGGAGTTGAATAAAAATGAAAAAAAAAAAAAACAAAAATGATAAGTGGAAAAAAAATAATTTTAAAATTCAAAGAAAATAACATGTGCCAAATATAATAAGAAGTTGATATTTGACCAAATTATCTTTATTTATTAGGGTATATATATATATATATATATATATATATATATATATATATATATATATATATATATATATATATATATATATAATGTGGAAATTCAAGAAAAATATATAGATTTGAACAGATAAGAGTTTAATAAATATTAAAAAATAATAATAATTTAAAAGAATCGATATAAGAAAATTTTGGTCATATTAGATGAGTTACTTTTCAAAAAAATGACAAATATATATGGCTAAGTTATAATGTCGATGAACAACTATTGCGCGGACGTGTGGATAATGTTATTTTATAAGAATTAATTAGAGAATAAGTTGTTTAGTAATGTGAATACGTTCAATCTCACACAAATATCGTTATTTTCATTCATTCTTACTAATTCTTATTCAAGTTTATTCTCACGCATCGTTTTTCACTCATTTTCATTCTTAGAGAATATGACTCAATAAACATTCTGACACAATGAGAATATTAATGAAAAGTCTATAATAACCTTATAGACGATTTAATTAATAAGAATGTGTGATAATAACAATAGTTATGTAAGATTGAACGTATTCATATTATCAAACTGATGGGTTTTATACAAAAGAACATCCTATGTGCTCATGCAAACCCTAAAGCTTGGATCTAGGTTTCTCTATTGTACATGCAATTCATCCAAGACTTATAAACCCTAGATCTAGTGATATATTTCAAAATAGACATAAAAATATAGATCTAGATGATTACCTCTTCTTCAATGGCTTGAATCTCCTTGTCTTTGGAGCTTAGAGTCACATGGGTCAATCCTCTAATGGCTTACAAACACCACAAGCACGAGAATGACTTATGAGAAGGAGGAGGAGCACCAAAAATGACCTAGGGTTCTTCCAAGGGAGTTCCACACGTTTTTGGGGCTATATAGGTCCTTATATAGTGAGGAAATTAGGGTTATCACCTAGGAAACCCTAATTTGACTGCTTAGGCCCTAAGCAGCCCATGGATTCCCTTTAGAACAACCCTTGGACGATTTCTTTATGGGCTTCCCATAGAATTCGTCCAACCTATGTTCCAAGGTGATCCATAGCCCAATTGCAACTATCTTATAATTACAATTCCAGTCCCCTAAGTTTAATTAATGTCTTTTAGTCACAAAACTAATTCTTAATTAATTCTTGACTAATATTAATTAAACAATATGATTTTTCCTTTAATATATTATTCATATAATATATTAATAAATCATAATTAATCCTCTTTCTCCATAAATCATCTTATCAAGTTGCTTTGTTGAAGGCAACCCAAAAGGACCATGCACAACCGGGTTAAGTACATACCAAATATTGTCAATCCATATTTGAAGCTAACTTTCTCTTTCTTTCTTTCTTTCTTTCTCTCTCTCTCTCTCTCTCTCTATATATATATATATATATATATATATATATATATATATATATATATATATATATATATATATATATATATTATAAAAGAATGGAATTCAAAATTCCATTTTATATCTTACCAAACAAAACCTATCAGATTATTCAATATCAAAATTATATCTTTTAAAAGAATGGTATTAAAAACTGTAACACTGCCAAAAAGATTATCATAACATGTACAATAGCGGCTCCTTCAACTCATCAGAGTTTGGTAAATCCTCATCAAGCATCAGTCCAAACCAGACTCGGATACATGCATCATAGTCGGGTAAAAATTCCATATATATATATATACACACACACACACACACACACACACACATCCTTGAAGAGAATCTTTGGGTAGTTTTACACATTTTATCATCTCCAAACATTTTTCCGGATTGACTCTCCTTCCTCAAGACCAATGTACATGCACATACATAAGTCAAGTGATTCAAGGTGATGACATCCCTCAAGAATCACGTCCAACCCAATATTTGTGAGATTGTTTCCAATAGTTCAAGGTCTCTTAACTCGAGTAAGTTCACTCTTATAGTTATTGCTATCTCATTACGAGTCATTGGGTGTTCCCCATATCTCAATGGGGTGTCATTCAATTTCATTGTTTTTAGTAAGGGGTAATAACATCCATCAGTTTCAATAGCTTCTTTCGGGATATTTGTTATGTAGATACTCAGTTCCTCTAACAATGCAAACTTCCTCAAAGCTCTGGTCCAACTTTCATATGCATCATTGTAACAAAATGAGATTCCAAAAGACCTTAGCTGACTTGATCTATTTTTTTAAGCAACAAAACCGATTAACATACAAAAGCATGAATGCACAATAACTTTCAATAAGCTAACATACCTATCAGCAGCATACCGAAGAAGCTCATTATCACCAAATTCCATAATAGTGATATCAACTAATTGGCCTTGGCTTCTATCCATAACATGTTTACACATCTCATGTAGCTGTTGTTGAACACGACTCTTTATATGAGAAACAACAATACTTTTACTAAGTCACTTAATAAGAACTTACAATTTCATAGACTACTATACTTTGCTTTCTTGGAGGCGTTCCTTGGATACTTGGATGTTGGGATTGTTTTGGAGGAAATTAGTTACACACCTATTTATAGATGTTTCCACATCCCTATAGGAAGTTTCTAGATCTTCCTATAAGCTATATACGTTCATTACTATTCTAGAATCTTCTACCATAATCTATATCTATAACATGCTTATATATGTTTCTAGAATGTTCTATAATTTCCTAGATAAGTCTAGGACATTCTTGTTTCTTCTATAATCTTCTATAATGTTCCGTAACATTCTAGTGTCCTCCATCTCATTCTATAATATTCTTAAGTCTTCTTATATGTTCTAGAATATTCCATAGGCTTTCATTATGTTCTAGAATATTCTAGATTATTCTAGAATATTATAACATTTTTTATACAGGAATAAACTCTATAAATCTCCATCGGGCTAATGATGACCTTCAACACACTCCCCTCCCCCCATCTCTCTCTCTCTCTCAACAATAGCCCCTATTTGTTGTACCATGTTGAGCTGAAAATTAAAGCCCTCACACTTTTCAGTGCTAAAGCCTTTGTGAACTCCATATAGTACTTGATAAGTCGTCTTGATATGTCTCATATTAACTTCTTCCTTAAAAACTTTTTCTCTTCCACATGCTTTGTTTTTCCCCAGTTGTTGCAGCCGTTACTTCGTATATTGTTTCTGTAGTTGACAATGACATTCATGGTTGCCTTTTGTTTTATTATCCCTCCCTTTGGAAAACTTGTAAGCATGTAGGTTGTCCTTTCACAAGCCTTGGAAAATTCCCGCAATATTAACATGTTATGACATGATCCCTTATTGATCTGATCATCTCATTTAGTGTTGCTTGGTTGAGAGATTCTACTTTTCTCTAACAAATTAATTTACTTTTCTTCTTATTCACCTTCAATTTCTCCATCACATCTTCTACTTTTCGTCTAAGATTCAACTTTTAGACGTCATGTTCTCATTCTCCTTTGGAAAGTCCATCTTCGAGGGAACAACTTCCTCTTTCAAGGTTGTCATAAACTTTGTCTCACTATTCTTGATACCTTTTTCGACTTGTATGGTTGATAGGATTCGAGACTCAATCCTATTTCTCTTCAAGGGTATAATATGAATTGTTAAACCCTTAGTGATACAGCTAGTATCATCTCTCTCAAATGACTAGGGTCGTACAATATCTAATAAATCCATTCCCAATACCACGCAATAGTTATCCATATGTACCACTGTCAAGTCTATGGTGTCTTCCCATTCTGGTATCTTAAGGTGTACTCCAAATACAACACTAATGATAATATTCTTTAAAGAGTTGATGACATTGAACCAACCTGGATTTTTGGTATATTTAATACCCAACTTCCTAGCTTCATCTTCAGTAAGGAAATTATAAGATGCACGAGTATCAACTAATGCCTTGGTGTATCCTCCATTTGCCCTAGCCTCCTCGAACTTTATCCTTCCTCTTTTAGTCATATTCTCTCCTATGGCATATAGTGCCTTGGCATCCCATTCATCATCCACTTCATTTTTAGAAGTCATCAAATTGCTTTCAATTTTTTTTTCTTTAATCAGCAACCCTTGGACATGTCGCCCCACTTTCCATAATTGTTGTACTTTCCTTTGAACCTCCTCCCCTAAAAACTCTTATTTTTAGTCTTTTGAGATACTCCCCTAAAAACCCTTTGTCAGTATTTTTGTATCCTTCTTTAAAAGATGACTTGAAATTCCTCCGACCTTTACTTGTATAAAGTGCATCATCTTCACTCTTCAGCGTAATGCCTCCCATTTTCTTAGCCATAGCTTCTTGGATGGCTAGCAAATTCTTAAACTCTACAAGTGATGGTTTAACGGGCCACCCTTGTACAACAGTAACAAAGCTTTTATATTCTGGCATCAGTCTATGGATGATGTTCCTCTTCATTCGAGCTTCTGCAATGACCGATTGTAGATCTAGTTCAGTAGTCTCCCGATATATCGACTTGACCTTATGAAAATACTGAGCAATCATCATGTCACGTTGTGAGATTGATAAAAAATCGTTCTCCAGAAGTTGTAGTCTCGTATCATTCTTCTTTGAGAAAAGTGTCACAAGCGTGCCCCATGCTTCTTTCGGTGTGTTCTCTTCCCGAATATACTCCAACATCCCTTCTTCGTTTGTAGTCTTCAAGCCTAACATTGCTTTGCCTGCTTTGATTTTCCATTTGTGCAGAGCGTCATTAACATCTTCCTCTGATGGTATAGTTTTGCTTCCACCCCCCCCCCCCATAAATCTTGTCGTTGTAAGTATGACTTCATACATGTTTCCCATGTTCTGTAGTTTTTTTTTTGTTGAGTTTCTTGATTCCTCTGACAACATGGAGATCACCTATCGTGTTGGTAGTACCTCGGTACTACCAAACAAGCTAGTTTCAACACTAAATGTGACAACCGTCATATTCGGGTCAATTTGTGACAATCGTCAATCTTGAGTCAAGTCAAGTCATCAAGTCAAGCCGGTCAACTCTATTAAACCTTGTGTATTAGGTCGATGAATCGATAAAGCAAGAACATATGAGTTTTTGATTCGCAATTGGATTGATGATTGAGGGATGATTCATGAAGAAAAACGCGAAGTCAAGGACTATGAAATTGTTGGTTGCAAGAATTTAAAAACTCGATTGTGGAGTTGTTGATGCTCATTTTGCGAAAGTAAAACAATCGAGTGTTCGCATCTATGAATCAATTTGAAGTCAATTGGGTTAATATTCGCATATGGGTTCAACATATGAAAATTTTGATTTCGCAAGTTTAGAGTTCAAGAACTAAACTGTGTTCGCATCTGGAATGAAAAATTTTGTGAATCGCATTTGATTAATTAGGTTAAAATGCGAAGGGATGCGAAGGGTGTAAGAATGAAAATGCGAAGGTGATTAATGCGAAGGGATGCGAAGGGTGTAAGAATGAAAATGCGAAGGTGATTAATGCGAAGGGATGCGAAGGGTGTAAGAATGAAAATGCGAAGGTGATTAATGCGAAGGGATGCGAAGGGTGTAAGAATGAAAATGCGAAGGTGATTAATGCGAAGGGATGCGAAGGGTGTAAGAATGAAAATGCGAAGGTGATTAATGCGAAGGGATGCGAAGGGTGTAAGAATGAAGATGCGAAGTATTTCACAGTAGAATGCGAATTGGGGAAGAAAACAGAAGATTTCAAATATTGTCCCTGGAGTTTCGCATTTTTGGAAATAAAGACTCAACTTCGCAAATGGGGGTCATAAAATGATGAAATTGCAGAATTTTTAAAGAGATACACACATATAGACAATTATAAGACATTGTTCTTGACTTTTGAGTCCAAAGGCGTATGATCCGAACTTTAATTGTGAAATCGTCCTTGATTGAGTCAATTTCCTTTATAGGAGTAATATATTCCATTGTGCCTTGCAAGTTAAAAAAAAAAAAAAAAAAAAAAAAAAAAAAAAAATCAAAGTCACAAGCAACCACCCCACACCCACTCTATGACCAGCCATACCTCCCCACCTTACCTATGTCACTTCAATGTTCCCTTACACTCAAATTTCACTCACTCCCACGTTTTTGAGCTGGAACAATCAACCACACTCCTCATTTTCTCTCATTTCTCTCATTCCACTAAGTAACAAACATCACTTTTTCTCTCAAACTCTTCTACACAAATTTTCGAGATCCAAGGCTGGATTCAAGTGTTCTTCCACACTTAGTAAGTAAAAATTCATCCTCCCTATTATTATTTCACTTCATTCTACTCAAATCTTTGGTTGCTTACACAAACTCCCTAACTATGATGTTAGATTCTCGAAAACCTTCAAGGCATCTCCAAGTGTTCTTGAATTAAACACTTCCATTCTTCAAACAATCATCTACTGAAATCACTCAAGGTGAGTTCATACCCCTACATTTTCATGATTTCTCAAGTTTTAAGGGGGGGAATACAAGTTAAAACACTAAGAATATAACTAGATTTTTCTAACAGCCTTCATCAGAAAAGTTCAACTCCATTCACGGACTGTCTTGGGCATCTTAAACATTTTTGTTTTCAAAACTGTACAAGGTGCAAATAGTTCGAGTTTTTAGCTTTAAAATGGCTACTTGCACATCTCCATACGATTTTTCTACAATTTATGGTGATTTTTACAAAACTGCCTATCATTTCAAACAACAATCCGGACCAGTCTGTGATTTTGGACTTTTTCACCCAAGTTAGAGGTCATTATAAATTGAGATAAAATTTATGAGCAAACTAGACACATTTTTGAACTCTCAAAATTTACGGATCTAGTTTTCGACTTCGTATGATTTTTCTATGATTTTTCCAAATACAGGGCAGAATGGCTAAAGTTAGCCAACAGCATGTAAATATCATAACACTTTGTATTATGTTGAGCAAAGTGTATAATCATAAGTTCTAATATTTGAATGTGTTTCCATGTTAGTTTATCATTATGAACTGGAATTAAGACATTCATATTAAATATTAAATATTATTCATTCATTTTGGAACACGTATTATTAGACTATAAGAGGTATAGTTTGATAAATTCACAATACTAATATATTTTCATAAAAGAATTCATACATATTACAAACATTTTAGATAAACTATAACAGGTATAGTTTATGATATATCACTCTACGCACTCGTACAAGAAGGGTACATTCATACAAGAAAGATTTCTATTCGCACACATTTCACGAAAGTTAATCTATGTTTTGATAAATTCACAACACTAGTTACATTTCCATAAAAAGGGTTCATACATAGTACATACATTTTAGATAAACTATAATAGGTATAGTTTATGATACATCACTCTACGCACTCGTACAAGAAAGGTACATTCATACAAGAAATATTTATATTCACACACAATTATCGTAAACTTGTTATCCTATATTGTGAGTTTCTCTATTTTTTTCGATCTCTATCTCTCTATCTCCCCGTACGTCCGAGTGCGGGATATAATTCCTGGTAGTTATAATCAGAATCTCCTTGAGGGAGAACGTGATACTTGTATATAGATCTATATTGGGATTGACACCCCACACCTTGCTGCTAGCTACAGTTGGACCTGCAGGTCTACGGGTGACAAATGTCATTTCATTTTTCGCGACACTGAGAACGTCGTGGCAGGTTCACATAGTCATAGTATGATTATAACGGCTCACATAGGGAACAATCCATAAGTTTACGGGATTTTATTTTTAAAACCTAAATGAGTTTTATGTCGATTTAAAATCACCTTTTATCTCTATGGGTACAAATACAAAGTGTCGGGTCTCTATACAAAGCTATTATGATATTAAAACTACACATCCTCTAAAATTGTTAGACTTCAACTATAGTCGCTGAGCGTATATGTTGAGTCATATAAGAATTTAGTCTTGATTGGCCTAGAATTGGTGGTGCCCGCCTCATCTCCTGTTCCTCGTTGGGTTGTGGACCTAGGGCAGACCCACTATATTCAACGTTTTATCTAAGTTAAGCCTTATATAACTTTATATGTTGGACGATTATAGAGGAACTCTACGGATTACTCTAGGGTTCATTACAGCATCATGTAGGATTATTTCTATTCATACTTAACTAAGAAAATATTGGATTTTCTGGAAATCAAACTAAATCGATTTTACAAGGAAAAACGGTTTCTACTTCAAACAAAACTCTTATGAACTCACCAACCTTTGTGTTGACACTCTTTTAAAACTACTTGTATTCTCAGGAAATCAGTGAAACAGGAAAACTTCATCGCTTTGAGGATGGGACGCTAAACCGTCAACAAATTATTTTGTCATCATAATGTAATTGCTTTTGAAACATGTAAACATATACTTTGGTGTAACTTTTGCAATTATATATATGGTGGTTGTTTTTACTTTGAGCACTATTATACACGTTGTTGTGATACTGTACATGAAGTCCTCCACCCCCAGACGTTTCCGCCATCCTTGGTTTGGGGTGTGACAGATTGGTATCAGAGCATTGTTTATAGTGAACTAAGTATATCGAACCACTAAGATATACAAACTATAAATGCATTGGGACTAAGGTCTCTGATTTTAAGATTTCAAAACCACTATACCTTTAAGAATAAATAACTTTTGTTAAAAGTATACATGCATGCATACATACTAAGGTCAGCATCATTTTAGGACAAAACAAAAGTAATGATTGTTGGATATCACAGTTAAGCCTGGGGATGTATGATCAGTCTTGGGAATAGCATAGCCTGATCAACTATGCTGGTCCGAGGAGTGATTAGCATATGCCCAAGAATGGTTGTGATGTGGCAACAAGTCTAAAAACTTACCAACACTACCACAATGAATACCATAGGGGTATTTTGGCATTATTAAAAATTACATCTGCAAGAACTAAATAGATCTTTATCAATAGGTCAATAGTTGCTTAGTGGATACATTAAAATTTTATGTATCCAGGACGTCATAGACTTAGAATCTGTGGATCTTTGCTCTACTTCCTGTTCTCGTTGGATTGGGGATTTAGAGTTAGGGTCGCTTATT